TGGAAATGAAAAGTGTACATCAGCTTACAGGACTACACAGTAATACTACATAACTTACATGCACTTTTAGTTTTATTAAAAACCTGTACAAAATTAGATATAATTAGAGAAAATCTTACATCCGTAGGAGTCTTGCTTTGCTTGATAAGGAAGATTATTTCATTTTCAGAAGCTGTTACAAAGGCATGTTTTTCTTACATCCTGATAGGCATTTGTACATAACTTTGATTAGATGAAGACAACTGTAGACTTTTTAAAAGACCAAACCTAACTTCAGGCTGTGCTGGGTTCCTCACTCTTTGGTATAAACCCAACTCACAGGCAACTTTTTGGGGGTCTGAGACAGACTGGGAGCAACTGATGCTTACATCGACTGGTGTTGGACCTTCTTTTGTGATATTAGGTGGGATCCCTTCCTTATCCTTGTCCCATCTCAAGGGCTTGCTGATGTCTGCAGAGCAGAAACCTAGCATGAGTAATGCAGGTTATAGTGCCCCAAATACCTTTTAATAGGCTTTGTTGTTAGTCTAGAATTCTTTTGTTTCACACAGAAATCCTATGGCAGGGTAGTCTGCAGTACCCACCAGCACCAAATTTCCCTCCTATTTTTCTGTGACAAGGGGTGTGCATGGTCATGCTTTTCAAGTACGCCTGTGAGAGGCACATGAAAAATGGGTGGTGCTCTCGCTCCTGCTGATAGTGCCATCCTCTAGAAGAAGCACCAGTCCTATAAGTCAGGGTCAAGGTTTTGTCAGAAAATATTCTGTTTCATATATCAAAAGTAACAAAAAACTTAATTATAACTGAATTCTTCAGCAGTCTTTCATGAAAATCCATTTTCTGAAGGAATGGCTTTAGTTACTGACTGATGGTCAGGTCAAGCTCACTATTTACACTGAAATTAAATGCCATATCAAACTTAATGAACAGTGAGTGCATAGCAGCTCTGCTTTTGTCTGGAGATGTGTTTTCTAATATTTGTGTTTAAACAAAAGCAAAGCTGTAATAATGACAGCATTCATTAAAACTGTCAAAAAACCCTAACTGATAAAAGGTTATAATTGAAAAATGCATCTCAGTCCCAGAGGGATTATTGAGTCCAGCCCTCCTCTTTAGTGAATGAAGTTTTCAAGAGCCCAGAGCCTGGAGAGCCCTTATCTGCAATCAGAGGTGTGACTACCGACTGCGCTGCTCTACCCTTTCTGCAGCGAGGCTATGTGATAAGAGCACAGACAACCAAGTACTGAAGGCGTCCGCAACAGCTGCTCTAGTGCGGTTTAGATGGTGGGCATCTCAACAAACTATGTTCTGGCAGAGCTGTGTGTATGCCTGTATACCTTCACAGAGGTTGAGCTTATAATACTGTAGAAAATATTTTGTTATTTCAGAAAACAAAAATAAATGGGCATTAGCTTGTAAAAGATCTCATAAGTTTCTTCTTTCTTTTTTGCTCCTTGTGTTCAACCAAATTTGCCACGTGGCAATCTCACAAGCTCAGAGTTGGCCAGCAAAACTCCTGTCCTGAGGGAGAATTGCTCAACTTATACAGTTTATATCAAATCAAGACTGACATGGTTTATTGATTTACTAACACCACATAATTAAACAGTGATCAGTGAACTATGCATTCAGGATCAATACCAGTAATACAGCAGGCAAATCATAGTATTAGACATTTGTAAATTATTAGCAAACACTGATTTCTAAATACCTTTCTATAACTTACCCCCAGAAGTGATAAATCCCTGCACAGCCCGCGGCAGATCCACCTCTCCTGGACACAGGGATTCACCTATGTGCTGGTCTCTGCAACCTGGCACTCCAATATTTTGCTGAACTATCTCCAGTACATCCCTGTCTTTCTTGTATTGGGGAGACCAGCACTGGTCACATCACCCAGATATGTCTCACCAGGGCTGAGCAGAGGCGCAGGACCACCTCCCTTGACCTGTTGGCAATGGTCTGGCTGATGCACCCCAGGAGGCTGTTGTCTTTCTTCAAAGTAAGAATGACAAAGAACAATTTTAGTGACATTTAAACAGTTCTGGGGGTGTTGGACCACACTGTCCCCAGGTAAAATCTGCCCCTAAGCATCTACAAACAAATGTGCAACAGTTTTCTGCACTGTAGTCTCTGCCTCTGCATTTTCACTATTGTTGCTTCCTGTACTAGGGAACCAAGGTTAATACATTGCTCTAAGTGCTGCAGCTATACTCTTTGATGACAGTTTTTGAAAGTACTTGGTGTTTTAAGCTAAAATGTTGAATTTCTAGCCAGAGTTACTGATGTTCTAACACATGATCCTTTCTTGCCAAATCTGCTGTGGGATGGAAATGGCAGAACAGATGTGAGGACAAGAGGTAGTTTCTTATCTACACTGTGCTATTCTAAATATAGCACAATAACATTCTTAATTTGGTGCCTTAGTGGTGACTGAGCTATTTTCCAAATCTGTGGTAGTAAGTACATGGCGCAGCTTCATGTTTTAGAGTTGTAATGTCCCGTACTGTTTGTTGCTCAGTACAAATGCTCTGTTTTTTTCATCTGTACAAGCTGAAAGCAGAACTGGTCTTCATCTGCAAAATGATTTGCTAGTCTCAGCCTATAATGTGATAGATAACCTTGCCGCATAAACAACATGATTGACAAACACTTCTTGGGAGACTTTGAATTTAAAATCAAGAGGTCTGAAAATAGAAGCCGAAGCAGCTACTGGATAAAGTCTCAGGCATGTTTCCCCATGGGCATTTCTAGCAAACTTTATCTCCAGAGTTGGTGAAAGGAGTGAACCAACTGATACATCCCAGAACATTTCTCTTGTTCTTTTGAGTCCTTCATAAAAAGCACAGGATGCAATAACAGCAGGCTTTCCCTAAAGAGAATCAATCAGCTATCTAACTGCATTTCCTTTCTCAGAGATCAGATGCTGTATGAGAAAGCACAAAAGACATTACAAAACAGCCCTCCCACAATGAAAGCTTCTTCCTAATTCTCTATAATTAGAATGACTTTTGAATGAGAAACAGCCTGTACAATTTGTGCAGCCTGAGAGACTTCCTGCTCCAAGGAGCTATGAAATAATAACCTACAGTGGGCTGCATCAAACCTTCCCCTGCAGCATTCATTTTGTCTCCTGGACATCAACGGGAGTTTTGTGATGGATTCGCAGAGTGTTTGGGCAAAGGGGAATACTGTGGTAACACAGTTTGTTCTCTGTGTAACACAGACCACGAGGCTGACCTAAAAATTTTCACACCTAGACCATTTCTGGTAGAGCAAGACACACTTGTTTGGTCTCCACTGTTTTCCCTTGGCCTCCTTCTGACCCTGGTGACAGCTGCATGTGCAGCACCGGTCCCAAATCCAAATGCTGACTGAGGCCAGCTGACAGATCGGAA